CACCCCAGACCTTCTGGACCAGGTTCCTGGTGTTTTTGCATGCACTGTGGGATGCACTCTTCCCCACTGGTAAAATGCAAGCAGTGGATGATGAGGTACAGAGGGAAGAAAAGTAGGACAGGTATCAGGACTGGAATCATTTCACAGATTTATTCAGAACCTTTAATTGCTTACTCGAAACCATCCCGGAATGCTCACATTCCAGGGCCATGTGACCTTGAGTAAGTCAATGAACTTCTTTGCTTCTATTTTCTCATCTCTAAGATGGGTATAACCCTCACTAAGTCTGTTCACTAAGATCAAGTAGAATAGTACTTTGTAAAATGCAAAGCAATTATAAATATCAGTGTTATCTTTATTGGAATTATATAGCATGAGAAGTCATTTCATTTTGGCAAGATCAAGAAGTACATTTACACAGTTAGTGGTAAAGCTTGACCTAAAACATTTTGACTTTAGTGTTCTTTTTTTCTTATCTACACACAAAACAATGCCTAGGAATTGCCTTTACTAAATGATGATTTGGGTAGGATGACTTTGGGTACAATTATGGGATGGCCAGTATATGCTACTGCAATTTTAGCTTATTTTTGCACAAGTTTTTCATCTTGGAAGCTAAGTGACATTTAGCACTGTTAATATAACTCAAAAATTAGCCGAAACCAGTTTGGCTCAATGGATAGAGCATCAGGGACTGAAAGGTCCCTGGTTCGATTCCGGTCAAGGGCATGTACCTTGGTTGCGGGCATATCCCCAGTAGGGGGAGTGGGGTGGGTGTAAGAGGCAGCTGATCGATGACTCTCTCTCATCGATGTTTCTTTTTAAAAAAAATATATATTTTATTGATTATTTTACAGAGAGTTAAGGAGAGAGAGGGACAGAGAGCTAGAAACATCGATGAGAGAGAAACATCGATCAGCTGCCTCCTGCACAACCCCTACTGGGGATGTGCCTGCAACCAAGGTACATGCCCTTGACCGGAATCGAACCTGGGACCTTTCAGTCCCCAGGCTGACGCTCTATCAACTGAGTCAAACCGGTTTCGGCGATGTTTCTAACTCTCTATCTCTCTCCCTTCCTCTCCGTACACAATCAATAAAATATAATAATAAAAAAAAATTAGTTGTGGCCTGATGAGGGTGCTCTTATTCAATGTGTGATTTAAAATGCTATTTTCCCACAAACTTGTATATATTTGATAATAGGCATTTTTTACTATGTTTTTGCCATTTATTATTCTTTATTTGAAAATTGCTAGTGCTTAGCAATTGTATAGTGCTTGTCTTTTAATTGATTAATAATAATAACAATAGGTAGCATTTTCTGAGCCTTTTTGTACTTCAGTTATATATCTTGATATTTATAGAAAATAAAGTAGGCACTATTATTATCTGCCTATGACTCATGGGAAAACAGAGAGCGGTTAAATAAATTGCTCAAGGTGCCACAACTAGAAAGGATGGATACAAATGATACTGAATCTAAAAAAGTAAAGAATAAGTGTTGAATGAATGAATGATGATTGGTTTGTTTCCTTTGCTCATTTTTATATTGAGTTGTTTTTCTTTTTTATTGGTAGAAGCTTTTTTTTTTATTATAGATTATGAATATTAACTCCTTTCCTATTCTATGTGTTACAAATATGCCCTCAGTCACCCCCTCCCACCCCCATGACTTCTCTTTAACTTATTTATTTTCTAGATTTTAGTGTTCATTTTTTGTTCACATCAGAAAACCCCAAAGCAGTAGTTAAAAATATGACTCTAGATATTGTTAAACTTGTTCTGGTCATTTGAAAAAAGTAGTGATAATACTTTAGGTAAACAGAGGAACTCTGGTGTGGGTAATATAAAGTCTCACTAAGTTAATCTAAATATGAAAAATAATCTCAAGGGAATTATTTGCTTTCTTCACATTGAGATACTTTGAAATTACAATTCCCCTTTAGTCATATTTATAATTGAAAAAGAAGGGGCTTATGGGGTTTTATATGTATTAGACTGACATTTGGGGAAATGAGTTTTTACTTCATCTGTAATAAATGAATCCTAATCATTTAAGTGGCTCTGGGCTAAGGGAATGATAGCGACTTCCTGCTCTCATTTTGTTTTCACTCTTTGAAATGCTCCTTTTGGTCCTATGAAGCTCTCCCATTCTTCTGGCTGAGTCACATGTTACTTCCCTTGAGGCCTGTAACCCTTCTCTGATCTGCTGAAGCATGAAATTAAAACCCCTCACCTGAGGATGTGTGTGTGTGTGTGTGTGTGTGTGTGTGTGTGTGAAAGAGAGAGAGAGAGAGAGGGGGGGGGGGAATATTGATGTGGGAGAGAAATATTGATTGATTGCCTCTGTGCACTCTGGCCAGGGATCAAACCCATAACCTTTGGTGCATGAGGTGATGCCAAAGCACCTGAGCCACGGACCACCTGGCTAGGGCCTCCTAAAGCATTTTTTATAGAGACTCTCTGGCTGTCATAGACTCTCTCTTGTTCTTAGAACCCCAAATTCATTTAGTGTTCACTTTCCACCCTGTGTCCTCAGGGATGTGACCATGTTGTCATCCTAGAAGTCAAATCAGTATTGTTTGAATCCTAAACCAGTGTTCTCCAACTTTCACCCTCACCTGGAGGGCTTGTTAAGACAGATTGCCGAGCTCCATTCCCAGAATATCTGATTCAGTAAGTCTAGGGGGGCATTCCTAACAAGGACCGTGATTTGAGATTCACTGATCTAAGCTGGTCAAGATCCAGTATCCTTTGCCTATGATTGGTTTAGAGATATTATTCTTGATTGTCTCTATTATGTCATGCAGACTACCACACCTGGAAAATGACACAAAAATGATTTTTCAGATGACAGCTTTCACTATGTACTGTGTAAAATATGGTCATTATTTTATGTAATTTCTGTGCTTTTGTTTGTAAAGACTGTGCCCATAATACAAACCAAGAATATAAACACATAGGGATGCATACAGATGTGTTTGCAGCTATGCCATTCAGGTTAACTGGATTTGTGAGGAAGTCTGATGCTTGGACTTGGATGTCAGAATTGCCTGTGTGTGCATTATGCTTTTCTTTGCACTGTGGTAACTGCATGAACTTGGGCACATTAGTTAATATCTTTGACTTTGATTTTTCAACTGTAAAATGGGTTAATCATCCCAATCTCTTGGATTTGTTATGAATATTAATAATAATGTTTGCAATGTGCTTGTCATATAGTAGATACTCAAGAAAAGGTGGCTACAATCAGGGTTAGCCAAGGCTAACCACCGACCGGAGTAAAACCCCTGGACTGGGCGAAATTCGCTCTCTCATCCACCATGCTGCCAGCGTGAGTGGGACAGAGCCCATGCTAGCATGGAAAAGGCTCTTTTGTTTATTGCATCAGACTCGGCTCCCTGGTGGTCCTTGGGGACCACGAAGTCTGGGCGTAACACTGATGTTCCATGATGTGCCTTGTGTGTTGTGATGGGCACTGTGGCCATTATTATACTTAAAAGAGAATACACCCTTTTGGGAGCATTTGGACAAGCTTACTTCATCATGTTGCAGATCTATCACTGGTTCTAGTGGCACATCATAATCCAAAGAAGGGTTTCAAGAATTCTAGATATTAAATATAATGATTGTGAAAATAGCCTAAGAAACAAAACCCCAAAACCTACAATTTCCAGGTAGATAAAGTAAGTAGAAGGGTCAATAGGTATTTTGATGGGCTTGAAGATATGACCGGCCAGGCAGAATCCCTGCCTACTGTTGCCAAATCTTATTTTTAATAGAGATGCTGCAATTCTGTTTTCTTATGTGACTCTCATAAAGTTTCCTTTAATAGTTACTCAACTTAAACAAAACCTGTGATGGCCAAACATTATTTGGCTTCCAGATTTGAACCAATATCCATTATTTATCAAATTCTACCACAAGTCACAAATCAGCAAAATTACTGAGATCCTAGGTTATTGATGTTGTTGTTTTTTTTCTCTAAACAATAACAGTTTGCTGAGTGCGCTGAGCAGAAGATATGTTTCTATGTATGTCAACAAATGTATTATGTCTTAATAAATGAATAATTTTGTACTTACCATTTTAAAAAGTTGCTATTTATACTTAGTAGTATGTTTTGGAGAGCATTTTTTCATAAGAGCATGAAGAAATTTGTTTGTTACAATAACTAATGCATTTTATTCCTTCATATGGATTTGCCAAGTTAAAAAAAAAGGATATTTAGATTATTTTCAAATCTCATTGCTAAACATAATGCTGCAATAAAATATCTCTATATACAAAAAAAGAAAAAAAAAAAAAGAAAAGGTGGCTAATTTCCAGGGCTTCTAGGCTAATAGAAATTTGGCTCTTAGGTTTCAAGTCCCTTCCACCAGTCCCCTAATAGCCACATTCTTAGTTAATACTGTATGCTTATTCTGGTTCCATCTGTCACTCCCTTGGCACCTACCTACCTATTTTATGGACCAGCACTCTAATTAGGAATAGAAAGCAAAATGGAGATTGCAGCAGGCATAGCTTCAACCCTCACTCTCCAAGCCTCTGTATCTTGGTGAATGTAGCTATGCTTCTAAATGGTGAAAATGTCACTAACCGACAATCCTTCGTTCCATTTTAGCTGATCAAAAGAATATTTTTGAATTAATTTTTCAGGGCCTAACCATTTAATATTACTTCTAGTCATTTGTGAAATTTATTCAGGAAGATGTTGAGAAAGGGTGACCTTCTTTAAGATTTTCTTTTTCTTTTCCAGTGTAGACTCAACGACAAGAACTGAGAAAACTTGGAAGCCACAGGCTATAGGACTTATTGTTACTCCTCAAGCCACTTAGACCTTAACCAAATAGTAAGAAAATTGAAAATTTAAAAAAAGTTATGATGAAGCCACCATTTTTCCTAATGTGCTTCTATATTTGGTGCATATAGTCAATACTGTTTAAAAACACTCATGTGACTACTTCATGCATGATTACTATTATTTATTTATTTGTTAAAAATATAGAATGCTTCACAAATTTGGTTGTTATCCTTGTGTAGAGGCCATGCTAATCTCTGTATCATTCCAATTTTAGTATATGTGCTGCTGAAATGAGCACACCAGCTATTCATTTAAAATATAGTTTATCTGTAGGACAAAAGGTTAGCTCTGTTTTTGTGAAAACTCTGACTCCTCAGGCCAGTGGAACTTTTCAAATGTAGATTTCTATTGCACTTTGTAGCTGGCTTCCAAATATGTACCATTGGTGCTGTGGGAACCTTCTAGAGTTGTGCACGGCACATCATCATAAATTATACTTCTTTCTCGTTTTGATGCTTTTAATATACTTTAAAAAGCTGGGAAGGCTGTGGAAAATACTGTGCAGGGAAAAAGTAATATAGTAATTTTATTTTCTTCTTATTGCATTAATGCACTTTATGTTTTAAAGTATAAGTTGCTCAAATTCTCAACAACAATAAAAAAATCAGTGTTAAAGTAGACAACAATATAGAATTCCTTTATATTAAATAGCCTTTGCTCCATCTAAGGATAATCAGATTGTAAGTATAGTTTCTAATCAATTTATACATCATTAGAAGCTACATATATTAAAACAGTTTGTATTATCTGTGATTATCACTCAAACTTATTTACTAATTATTTCTCTAAATAGCAAGATAAATCTCCACTCAGTCTTTCCCCTAGGAAAGACCCATAAGAAATCATTTTGCTATTAGCCTGGAAACGTTCCAGAAGCAGAACAGTGTGGTGGCAGTCTGCAGCAGGGCCTCAAGGGAGACATCAGATGTTAGCTCAAATATGATAGTTATGCTCTTGATCCCACAGCTGAAAGTGAAGTTGCAATGTCTCTGTAAAGGTGGTGCTGAATCGGAGTGTTCCGTCTGTGTCAGCTCATCAGCCTCTGGGAGGGGCAATTTAAAAACTATCAGTGGACTCCTGGGCATTGTCTTTAATCTGGGTCTTTTTGGGGTTTTGAAATATGATGGGAGTAACCAATTTAAAAGCAAATGCTAATCATGCAGCAGCCAGCTGTATGAGCAGCTCTCATCTGGGATTTACAAACGCTTGGCAAAACGTAAGTCATTAATCTTCAGAGTGGCTTTCCGGAGTCAAAAACACCCATCTCCACCCATCTTTGCCACTGGGAAACCTAGGCTTTCAAAGGCACAGTGTGGGCCTGCGCCCAAGGTCCCAGGGGGGTCCTGTAAGGCAAGCTGTGGTCTGAGCATCAAGCTCTGGGACTGATCTGAGCAGAGCACAGTGGGGCTGTGGGGAGACATGGCTAACATTGTGGGGCCACGTTTGGGTCTGTGGAAGTGTTGGCTCTACCTGGACCCCACTCAACTGCTAGTGAAATATTAATGGGGAAAGACTGAGCTGTTCCTTAGGGCTTCCGTCTTTTTCTTTCATAGATTATTTCTTTCTATACAGGTTTCTCTTTTAAAAAATTTATATATTTTTATAGGTTCCAGAGAGGAAGGAAGAGGAAGAGAGAAAGATAGAAACATCAATGATGAGAGAGAATCATTGATCGGCTGCCTCCTGCATGTCCTCAACTAGGAGTCAAGCCCACAACTCAGGTATGTGCCCTGGCAGGGAACGGAACATGACCTCCTGGTTCATAGATTAATGCTCAATCACTGCACCTCTCCCATCCTTCTGGCTGAGTCTCTCTTTTTTATAAGAATTCTCTTAATTTGACTTCTCGTGTCTGAAGTCATAGATTCACAGCTTTTAGAACACAAAGAAACCTCAGAAATTGACCATTTTTAGTCTTTCCATAAAGCTTTTATAATCTGGGCAGTGGTATAAAGTTATTGACAGTGAAAACCTAGGCATTAGGGAAGAACTCTGTTCCTATTGCTTTATCTTTTCTCCTGAAAATTTCTAACCCATGGCAGGTCCTTCATAAATGTTTTATTAATGAATTTACGAGTGAATGGAACCATGGTGGGGTAAGGTTGGAAGAAAAGGATTTGTGGTGAATGGGAGAAAGTATAAATACAAAAAATATGTGTACTACTATAGTCCTCCTTTATTCAATTGGCAATAAGATTAGAGTTGGTATTTATAACCTTTTTTCTTTTTTTTTGTTTTCCCCCCTCCTTTAGTGTTGACACTATTATAGATAATCCCATTCCCCTGCCATCCTTTGCTTACCTCCACCCAGTCCTCTGGCCATCACCACATGTCTGTGTGTATGAGTTATGCATATATACCAACTCCATGTTTTCTTTGCTTTCAGCCAGTACTTCAATAAGCTGTGATGTATTTACCTGGTGGGTAACTCAAACTTGCACTCCTACTGAGTGTGGGCCTTTGATTGTCCTGAACATATTGGGCAGCTAAGTTTTCTGTTATTTATTTATTTATTTATTTATTTATTACCAATGAATAAGAGTGGTACTCAGAGCCACCATCTCCTGGGTCCAGACTTGCTCGCCCTAGCCTCATGCTGTAGCCAACATTCCTGTTTCTGATCTCAGAGCCTAGTAGGTCTGTGTTTGCAGCCCTTATTTGTCACTAGGTTTTTTTTTTTTTTTTTCCCCTTTATATCTTTGAATTGTTTAAAATGTATGCTGATTGTGCTTTTGGAAAGGAAGTGGAATGGGCATCACGGTGCTCTACCACATTGATACTGTGGAGCTCACCCCGATCCCCTCTTCAGAGCTGGCACACCCATCCCCAGCTGCTGGGAATAGGGGATACCAAAGGCTCATGGCTGCGTCCTTCACTGTGATCGACCCTCTGCTGCAGGGACCTGCCTTGCCCAAGGTTACGCCTCCTCCTGGCTGACGTGAGTGTACAAAGGCCTTTCCCCCCTTGCTTCAGTTGGGAGCAACTCTGGAGGACCATCCTAGCTTCAGAGCTCCCACAGGGTCAGCTGAGATCAATCTCATTTGCATCTGCACTGTGGTCAGCTTCCCCCTCTGCCCAGAACTGTCTTCACTACCTTACAGGTGGAATAGCTCTCCAGAATACTCCATATTCCTCCTGCATATAACCCTCCTCCTTAGACTCTATCTGAAAACCCAATCAATCTAAGGCAGGCTGAAAATCCATCACAGAAATGATTCAATGGCCCACTGAAGACATCTGTGCTTTAACTGGGATGGTGGATGTCTATTTTTTTCCCCCCTGGCAAACCTTCTCATTTCTGGAAATTGTTCTTTCTATTTATTTATTTATTTATTTATTTATTTATTTATTTATTTATTTATTTTAAAATCAATCTTTATTGTTCATATTGTTACAAAGGTTCCTCATTTCTTCCCCCCTCCACCAGGTTCCCACCCCACCCTCCGCCCCCTCCCCATCCCCCATTGTCCTCATTTATAGGTGCACAGTTTATGTTCAGTCTCTTCCTCCCTCCCTTTCCTTGATAGTAAATCCCTTTTCAGATAGTAAATCTGTTACTTAGCATTTTCTCATATCAATAATACCACCACATGCCCAATGATACATTTCACACAAAAGACATTTCCAAATAGGTCAACCAGCCTCATCCAGGCCCCACTCAAGGCACTCACAGATCAAAACCCCAGCCCTATACTAACTCAACACATCCAGATATAAGCCTTCATCACTTGATTCAGCAGACCCTCAAGTTCCCACAAAAGTTTCCAGCCATGTCTGAGAGGCAGCCGTGGGGCAGGGGCAGGTGAGAAGCGAGCTGTTCCGGGCCTGGCTGCTTCGGGCCTGGCCTGTGTTGCTCTGGTTCATTCCACAACCAGGTGCTCCGGGTCTGGTCACCGCCGCTCCCGACCTAGTTGTTCTGGACCTGGCTGCTGCTGCTCCGGGCCTGGCCGCACCCGACCCGGCTGCTCTGGGCCCGGCTGCTCCGGGCCTGGCCGCTCCCAGCCTGGCAGCTGCTGCTCCGGGCCTGGCCGCACCAGACCTAGCTGCTCCGGGCCTGGCCGCTCCCAGCCTGGCAGCCGCTGCTCTGGGCCTGGCTGCTCCCAGCCAGGCAGCCGCTGCTCCGGGCCTGGCCACACCAGACCCGGTTGCTCCGGGCCTGGCCGCTCCCAGCCTGGCAGCTGCTGCTGCGGGCCTGGCCGCACCAGACCCGGCTGCTCCGGGCCTGGCCGCTCCCAGCCTGGCAGCTGCTGCTCCGGGCCTGGCCGCTCCCAGCCTGGCAGCCGCTGCTCCGGGCCTGGCCGCACCAGACCCGGCTTCTCTGGGCCCGGCTGCCCCGGGCCCGGCCGCTCCGAGTCCGGCCGCTCCCAGCCTGGATGCTCCGGGCTTGGCTACTGCTCTTCTGGACCTGGCTGCTCCCAACCCAGCTGCTCTGGGCCCGGCTTCTCCAGGTCCGGCCACTCCAGGTCTGGGTATTCCTGGACTGGCCACCCTGGGCTTGGCTGCTTCCGCCTCAGGTCTGGCTGCTCCAGTGCTGGCTGTTGATGCTCTGGTTCTGGCTGCTGCTGCTCTGGGGCCTGGCCGTTACTGCTCCGGGCCCGGTTGCCATTGCTTTGTGCCTGGGCACTCTAGGCCTGGCCGCCGCTGTTCCAACATTCTGTCCTTTTTTTTTTTTTTTTTTTAAACGCATTTATGTTGCAATGTTGGCTGGTGAGTTGAGTTCTGACTTAGTCTTTGATTTTTCAAGATCTTCTTTGTATTCTTTCTTAAGTAATTTTACTATCTTTTGCTCTCACTTGATTTTCACATTGAGAACTTTGGTTTCTTCCTCCTTGTCCTGGGAGCTCAGCAGGTTGGCCTGTGGCACCCCTTTGTTCTCCGTGGGCTCCTGCGCTGCTTCAGCCTGTTGTCGGGGTTGGCGCCGCCCAGGAAGCAGCCCCCGGCCTTGGCTCCGTTGCCCGCGCTCAGAGGTCGATGGCTTGGGGGCACCCCCCCCTGGGGGCCTCGTCGCCCGGCTCCCTGCCGGCGCCCGGCTGGCTGGTGTTCTGGCTGGTGTCCGGCAGGGGCTCCTGCTCCCTGTAGCATTCCTCCAGTCTGGAGCTTTTTTTTTTCTTTTTTTTTTTTTCTCCTTCCCAATAGGGGAGTCTAGGATCAGAGTCAACAGACTGTCCTCTGCGCGCAGTGTGCGTGACTCTGGGGGCTCCGCTTTTCGCCACTCCCCTGGGATTCCGCCTCAGCCCT